GGGGGGCGTGGACCGTTTATGGCACATGACTCTACTGTAATGTCGTGATAAAATGGTCCTTATAGTCGGGACTCGGTCCAGTCGCGCGGCCGATATCGGCCGGTCGTGATGCGTCACGTTCAAAAATCACACCGTGATGATCGTATTCGGGCCCGCGCCGCCGCCGTCGTAACCCTTTGCGCTGATTGGCCCGTCGTCGAGGATGGGCCGGGCGCGCCGTGTCCGATTGGACGCACAAGGGCCCCACTGCGCCGGGCGCGCTGCTGACCCAAACAGGGCCATTTCAGGCGATCATAAAAAAAATGCTCACGACTCTAAAAATTAGAAAGATAGCACCGCAAATTCGATATGTAAAAAACAACAGCATCCGCATGACAATTTTGAAATTCATTTTTTTAAATATGGTTCAGGAATAGAAATTATTATTTGTAGCTTTCTCTACCGATAGAAGTGTGTTACATTCAAACACTTAAAAGTGCGTGCCAAAATGTCACACACACAAAAGTGAGTGACCATTGTTTCATGCATAGAAAAGTGTGACAGCTATGGCATTCACAGAAAAGTGTGTGACAATATGCATACTTGTCTGACACAGTAGAATGTGTGACATGGTTGTCGTTACACACACTCTTTCCTTCTGTGTGTCATGGGTAGCATACGACAACGTATGACATTATTTTGGCACGCACTTTTAAGTGTTCGAATGCTTGTCGCACACCTCTGTTTGTCGAGTTGGTTAAAATAAATAGACTTTTGCAACTCTTTTTTTTTTTTTCGTGATATAGCAGCTAGCACGAAAACGACAGGTGCTAAACCGCTCTCTGTCTGGAGGGGGTTGCGGGGGGCCACCCAGGAGCGAAGCCCCCGCTCCAGGTGTCGTGTCCATTCTGATGGTAAAAGTGTGAATCCCACTGGAAGCCGCCGCGGCCTCGCGGTAGCCGCCGCCGCCGTGCCACGGGCCCCGCGCCGCGCCCGGCCCGACGTTGTAGAGTTGTGGTTTGGCTTTTGTGCCGTGCCATGAGAACTTGATAGATAATTCCCGTTCCGTTTGGGCTGTGGAGATAGCGGTTCAATCCCGAGAGGCTATAGGCCGGGCGGGCGCCTATGGCCCGGAGCCCCACGGCCCGCGCGGGCCCCGCGGCCCGATGCACGGGGGCCGCTGCACGCGGCTGTCTGGAGAACAGAAACCTCTCCGTCGCACCGGTCGGGAACGTCATCGTTTGAAAATCAATTTAAAAAAAAAATCACTGTTTTGTTTCATTCAAATTTGCTTGTAAGATAGGCCAAGTGCGTCGCTTTGCAAACAAAAACAAACATGATACCAAAACAAACATATTTACAAAAATAAACACATTACTTAGTGTGAATACAGAGTTCACGAAACGCAAGCGTGATTTTCACGCTTCGTAAGCTTCACGCAACCAATCAGGAAACGATTTTCATCACGCCGGGCGTGAGAATCACGCTCGCGTTTAGGGTTCGCCGCACAGTGCCAACTAGATCGTTTGTTTGTTGGGGGGGGGGGTACCGGGCCAGGTACCGTCCTACTAATTTCTTTTTCGGAGTGTGCCGGGCCGTGCTACCTGGAATGTGTGATTGCGCGCCAGGCAGCAGGCAGTGCGGTCGGCTTTGCCATGCTGTGCTACGTGATGACAGATCCATTCCCATTTCCCCCTTCCCTTTCTACCCCCCGTCCCCCCTTTCCCTTCTCCCTCTCTCCGATCAGCTGATTCCACCGCGCGCCGCCACACCGGCAGTCAGTCTCGCCGTGAACCTGTCCGTCTGTGTGAGGGGGG